TTTTCCTTTGTGGTCACAGCCCGCTTGCACCTCTGCTGCAGAAAGAGTCTTCTTTTGTGTTCGCCCGCTCTAAGCGGCATTGGAAGAATCGGCCTCGACAACCGCAGCATAGACCTCGTCGAACTTGGTGTCGAAGAATTCAGGGAACGCTGCGTTGAAGGCCGGTTCGAATATGGCTGTGAATTTGGCTATGAAGTCTCCCTCGAGCTTCTCGTGGAACTTTTCGTGCAATATGTGGTGGAGCACGGACGAGACCGCCATGTCCCTCACACTCTGGCTCGGGTCGCCGAGGAACATGGCCATGGGAACCTCGTCGAGGTAGTTCTCCAGGTTATTTCTCATTTCGTCCTTGGTCATTTCCTCGAGCTCGTCCATGGTCGTGTCCCAGACGCGCTCTTGCACATCGTCCGACAATTGATCACGAAGGGCCTCGGCCGTCTTGTCCCAGACAAGTTGAGTTATCTCGTCGAATCTTGGTTCGAACGCCGGGCCAAATTTCTCGTCGAATCTCATTCTGAAGCGCACCGTGAATTGCTTCCTAACCTCCTCTGCATAAGAGGTTATGAATTGCTGCTTCACCACGTGGCGGAGCAAGTCCGGAACATGCGCCATCTTGCCTTGGTATTGCTGGACGTGGATAGTTTTGGATAAAGCTTGAAAGGTGATGTCAAAGGTTGCACCCGGGGTTGAGGCTGGATTCAAAGTCGGTTGTTGTGGTGGAGAAAAGTGGAAAGCAGACGTCCAGGAATAGAAGAGAGATATATAGTTTTCGCGCAACGCGATTTGAGGCAGTTCAGCCCAAAGAGAAACTAAACGCCTTGAACACTACAAAGAAAGTAAATTAAGGCAGCCCCAGATAAGGCAGTTCAGTGTAAAGAGATCCAAACGCCTTGAACATTACAAAGAAAGGAAATCAAGGCAGCCCCAGGTAAGGCGGTTCAGTATAAAGAGATCCAAGCGCCTTGAACACTATAAAGAATCGAAATCAAGGCAGCCTAGACAAAGGCAGTTCATCCCAAAGAGAATTTAAACATCTTAGACATTACAAGGAATGGAAACTAAGGCAGAACCAGTCAAGGGCACACTGAATCCATATACAATGAATAAAACAGTCCACCTAGCCTCCCTTTTCTCTTTTGGTAGTATTTCTATGATTGCTTCCGAGCGGTCAATCAGCCTCCCTTTTCAATTTTTTTTGTATTTCTGTGGTTATTTCGAGTAATCAATCAGCCTCCCATTCCCTCCCCCCCTTTTTTTGGTAGTTTTGCTTATTTCCCAATGATTCCCGTTTAACGAAGAGTAACTCCGTGGCCTATGCAAGAACTTGTAAACCGCACTTTTCCGCCGTTGCCGATCGGGAGGTGGCTGCCTACCTCTGCCCGCCGGGTATTCTGACAACACCAACTTTCATACTCCCCTTTCTGGTCTTCTGGTCTTCTGGTCTTCTGCTTTTCGTGCTCTTCTCCTTCGTGACCTTTCTCTCCGGCTGTGGGGAAGAAGTCAGTCCCACGCCGAGGTCAATCCTCGTGTGATAGGATGGTCTTGCTCCCATCCACCGTTACGATATGCTCCAAAATCACGGTTGAACAACTCAAACTCCGAACGGTGGTCCGGATGGAAAAGCTCCTCCACCTCGTACGGCCTGTGGACTAGGCTTCCTGTGGTCGGCTCCGCCCTCGCGTGTATCCGTCTTTCGAAGTAGAAATTTCTCTCAGAGACCAAGATCTCTACGGCTGATAATTTAGCCATGAACCGATGAATACCCATCAGCTGGGACTTGCGTCGTATGTGCTCCCTGCGGGTATCCGGCGGTCCGAGATTCTTGTGAAAGAAGGGAATTACTGTTCTGCCATAGCTGGTATGAACCTTGACATTGGGTGGGCATGTGACTTTGTGGTCCTTAGATGCTTTGATGAGCATGAGAGATAACTTATCAAGGTCTATCTCGCCATGCAATCGAAGAGTTTCAAGACCTTTGGGCAGATTGATAAAACAGTCGACATATGCCCTACCCATTTTAGCGAAGGCGAGTTCTTTCAAACCGGTAAGTGGAATAAAATCGAGTTGTCCGGCATACCGAAAGAGTGGCGGACCACTATACGGGTACCTTCCGTGTATCTTTAGCGTCTTGAGTTCCGGTTGGTGAGTCGCTAGAATTGATACCAAATCGTTAATTGTTTTGCACTCATTGTCGTTGCGAAGTTCGAGCTCACGCCAGATTGAGAACTCTAGAGTCTGTAGTGCAGCGGGTACACTAAGAATATACGAGAGTTTTTCTGCGTCGATGGTTTGAAAATCGAGGAGTGCAAGGTATTCCAATGCCGTAAAATTAGGTGGAGGTACTGGGTCGTCCGGATCGAGAAAAGCGCAAGACACTTTCAAGGTAGTCAGTTTCGGTGCCTTCAGTAGTGAGTTGATACAAATCGGATTGCGATGGTAGCTAATCAGTGTACATTCGCGCAAGTCGTTGAAGGTAGTATGTTTGAGCTTGAAGTTGAGCTCTTGGAAGAGTTCTCGATCATGGTCCTTGGCTCCTAGTACATGTAGGGCTTGAAGTCTATTGACTTTGGTAAGACAGTGTAACATGTGTTCGCAGCATATCATCTCCTCGGTGCAAACGGTAGCCAATCGGACACGCGGGAAGACAACCAAAGTCCTAACTAGGTTATATCGTTCTGGCCGTGTGTTTAGCATGAGATCTAGGTGGCGAGATTGAATGACATCGAGAGAGTGGAGGAATCGGAAGAAGGCAAACTCGGACAACTCGCAAACTCTCTTGCAGGTCCGGCGGAAATTTCTGACGTGTTTGCGATTGTGCGGCCAACTGTCACCGTCTAGTAGGCGGATAATATGCATAATTATTTCGTTCGGTAGGTCGAGGAGTCTCAATGGTTGGTTTTCTTGAGGCGTCGCCATGATGCTAGCGATTGGGGGGCGGGTGCGGTCGCGGATGATACGCATAATCATTTCCTTAGGTAGCTCGCGGAGTCTCAGCGGTTGGTTTGCTTGAGGCGTCGCCATAGTGCTAGCGATTGACTGCTGCGCGGTGTAGCGTTTTGGATGAGAAAAGGAGTCCTAGCAAAGGCCAGTCTGTTTGGACGGTGAATCAATCAGCTTCGAAGTTGTTTGGTTGAGGAAACTGGAAAGTAGAAGTCTGGGATCAGGCGTAGACTTAATGCTCTTCGCATAATGCGACTTAAGGGAGTTGAGCCCGAGTTAAGGCAGCGTAGCCCGAAGAGAATCCAAATGCCTCGATCGCTATAAAGAAAGTGAGACTAAGGCAGCCGTAGTAAAAGCGGTCCAGGCAAAGACTAATTTGTTTGGGCAGTGAATTAATGAGTTCTTTGTGAAACATGGCCTTCACGCGATAAGGGACGGAAGAAAGAGTCGGTGGAAGGCAGCTTTGAGAAACAAGGATAGTATGAGTTGTCCAGTTTGGAGGTAGCTTTAACAAAGGGTTGCCAACTGCTCACGTTGGGAAAATTGCGCTCAGACAGCGAGCAGCCTTTAATCTTTGGCTCAACTGAACCATGAACCCTGCACTTTCAGGATAATAGAGTTCCATTTTAGTAGCTAGGCAGGGTCTGATAACTAGGCGACTGCACATGACAGCCCCAAAGAGACCGTCGACTTTGCTCGGCCGTATTGACAAGGGGACTCCAATTCAGCTCAACTTTTGCAGGTGGACCATCGCCAACCTTTCGTGTTGCTGAGCGATGTCACAGTAGAAGCCGATCAAGTTACGCGGTACAATCTCTGGGAAATACACGACGAATGCCGACTTATAATCCCAGCCGACGGTGAATTGCTGGGGTACTTTTAGGTCCCTGCTCAAGATGTGCCCCACTTCCTCCTCCCCTACCCTTCCAAATACCGAATGGATCCTCTTCGTCAGGGTGTCAGCCACCTCCATCATTAACATGATGTGGCGGACGATCCTCGCGAGCGATTTAGACCACCAGGTTCGCAGAACCCAACACATCCTCGGCCAGGCAATTCTTGCATTCGCTCAATAACCCGGGGTGGATGGATCTTTTGCCATTGTAGTGTGGTGTGGGGACCTTGGAAGAAACTGGCTGAATGCTTGCATGAAGACTATCTCGATAAGCGACTAGCGCTCGACTATCTGCGCGCTAACCTCGCCCAGCCCAGGGTAGGAGTGCCACATACTTTCGACTAGGGTCCCCACACTAGGCCTTTTGGGAGCATCACGTGAGCGGTAAGCGGGCCGGGGCAAAGCCGCGTCTAGTTTTGGGCGGATTGCCGAGCAATGCTCAAGGCGCACCTTGACTTCTTTGCAGTTCTCCCCTCCTTCTCATTGTCTGCGCCATGCTTGAAACGTTTTGAAGGCTCGGGTGAAGCGTCACTGTGGTGATGTCCGACGAGTGCGTCGATTGTACATCGAGTAGGCTTTTTGAATGGCTCAGCCAAAACTCCCATGCTCCAATCGAAGCATCTGTGACGGTCATCGAGCACGGTTAGTCGCGAACTGTACATACGGACACCCAAAGAGAGCAACTGTCGAAGAAGCGCAGGAATGCGCCTGAACTTGTGAGCGCAATAACTCGAACTCCGTCGCCGACAGAACGTCCTCTTGCTGTTGGGTTGTTCGAGTCTCCTGTGGCGCAGGGTGAGTTGTTCCAGTCCATCAGCTGTACCGTCGACTAATGACTGAGCCCCTGAAGATGATTCTACATCGAGACCTCAATATCATTCCGTCCATCCCCTCATGCGTTCTGCACCGAAATCTGGCAGCAGCACGACTTCCAGTCGAAGTCGCAGCTCAACGAAATGGAAAGCCGACTTCGGCATCATGTTCCCCTGAATCACGTTCAATGAGGACAAAAGACTTCGCGAACTGTACGGTTTAAAACAACCAGCGACCGACCGACCGTATTGGGGCACCAAGTCGAGATCTGGAGAAAGAAACCTACCTACGGATTGATGCTCCGGATTATACATGGCTTTCCAAGACTGTCAGGGCATTTCGTCCACACATGCTACATTGCTACTGGGTTTCGGACGTTGAAGTCACACAATATCCAGACCGTCCTGCGCTCATCGCCGTCGAAGTCGGACGGCAGATGAATGAGGCCGGCTTCGTACGTGAAGGCCCTTTGCAGGTGCAGTATCGCAAAGCCATTTGCCTCTCTCTCCGCTCGCTTAGCGGGCGGCCCAGGTACGTTCAAGATCTGATGCTGAGGCACAACGCTCTTTCGGATTTGGATGGTCTGCCATGTATTTCCGCTGATCGGAGTATTATTTCCTCCCATCCTTCGGAGAATACCCAGGTGTTTGGGCCCGAGCAGCCCGGTATTCCGCGATTCCCCATCTATTTGGCGACGTCACCGCCGAGCATGTACGAAGTACTCTGTACTGAATTTGACAGTCTTCTGGGGAGCATTCCGCCAGTAGTTCGCATAGTGCTTTATCGGGGCACGCGCGTCGGTGGCATCCCTGAGTATCACGCCACTCGAGGGAGGTTCCTGACCATCAGGGGTGGTTCCTCGCTTCTCGGGGATGCTTCGTTCCTAGCAGAACGCAACTACAAGCAAGGTATAAGTGTTCGTCTGGCCAAACTAGCCCCTGGTTTGGCTGATCCTCCGCACCTAATTCCAACAGCGAAAATTACGGAGCACACACGTGGAATGTACATGCACCTGGCGCCCAGACTCACCTGGGGAGACGGACAGGCGATGTAGAGGCGCCTGGGATGGGATTCTTGCAAATCTGATAGAGTCCTGTTACGCGAGTCCTAGCATGCCCGGGCCCAATATCGCAGCTGTGGCTGTTAAGTATCCAGAATTTCTTTCTAGCTTTGCTCACTCCTCATCGTCATCGTGCCTGGATAATGTATTGTAGCTATTTATTTCCTCTTTTTCACCAATTGCGATAAGCACGGCATCGTCTGAAACCCCTTGGAGAGAGAGAGAGGAAGGGCCTGTATTTCCTGCGTTTTCTCTGCCATTCAGTACGACAAGGCGAAATGTCAATGGCCCGTTGAATGCGGACGCAGCAACCCGTACTGTCTCCATTTGTCCTCGATATCGATTCTGGTGCCAAGGAGGTTGAGGAGAGACCAGCCATCACCGAATGGTAATGTCGTCTCTCAAGGAGAAAATAGAAAATCACACTACCTGATCCGTCTGACAAACTCTGCTTGTGTTTGTAGATATGGCCGCCGGTAGCCCAAGATCGGGTGAAAAGAAGATACAGGAGCGGTAGACGGGAGAGGGACTCTTCAGGCCAGCAAAGGAACGCAAAGTTTGCTTTGCTACGTAGAGTCCTTGTAGACTGAAAGGGCGGAGGGAGAGAGGAGTAGGCTAGTGACTCGTCGGCGCTTCGGAGTCCATCAGTTCGATATCTCGGTAGGTAGGGCGGAATTGCGGAAGGAAGATGTTCTCTGCACGGGATAAGTCAATGCTCGAGCGTCGATGTCTTGAACACTGCGAAGCAGGACGTAGCCGTCGGTGCAAAACGGTCGGCGCCGGAGATTTTCGTGGCCTCCTCACCCACTCAGTGGCGCCGCTTTTGAAAAGTCGATTTCGTTGCATGTCGTCAGACGATTTGGAGGCCAGTCACGACAGTACAATTATAGCCGCTGTCAACAGTCCTTACTAGTGGTAGGTAAGTGCAACCATCCATTGGCCCAATTGGACATTATGGTAGTCTGGCCATTGTTTCTCAAGGCCATGCGTCGGAGACCATGAAGTCGCGGAAGGCTTCATCGTCTCCAATTTCGACATAATTGTTGTCGATCTTCGGAAGCATCTCAACCCAAAGTCGGTAGCTCAATGGAACGTTTCATCTCTGACTCGACGCGGTGATGAAGGAGGTTCTCGATGTCAGATGATTGAAGATCTTCTCTATGCCAGAGACAATCTTGCCACAACTCCGACTTGGATCCCATCTCGTGCTGGAGAAACCGCTCTAGCGTACGATGGGCGTGGAATTCTGAAGGTGTGCAGAAAAGTCTTGCAAGGCGGATAACAGCTCGGTAATGCCATTCTTGGCACCCATCGATATGCTTCCATTCATGGTCCATCATCCGGCGACCGTGTCGTAAAACCTCGGCGACGAGATGGAAGTCGTGCGAGTGCCGCGACAGGGACACGCTTGACCAAAGACTCTCCATAATGAATGACCATAACAGCGTATCCAATTCATTACCAGAGCAGATGAAGGCTCGGAAGCGCATAGTCGCAACCATACTGGCTCTCGTTGACGTACTGTATGAGCGAGGGGCAATGTTCAAAATCATTTGGTTGACATGGTCCTCAAGGTCGCAGTCGAATTGAGTGGGGAGATGGCCAGGTCTCGAGTCATCAGACTCTGCCGTCTCCAGGAATTTCAAAGCCCCCACATCAATCAGGTTGACCTCGAAATGAGTGAGATCTATCAGGACATTGGAAGACCTCACATCACCATGCTGGATGCCTTCCCTCCACAGCTGCATCACCATCTTTTCGTGAATTTTCATGTGTAGATTGTACCAGTCATCATCTGTCATATCGTCCTTGGGGAGTTGGTGCAGTGGAACGCCTGCCACGAGAGACATTAAGATGGCAGGATATTGTGTGAGTACCAGGGCCAATTTGTCTGATGTCGGCTCGGCCTCTGGTCTTCGTAGTCTCCCACCAGCGACGAAAGACGGAAATCCGCCGAGTCCTCGAATGCCCGAAAATATCTTTCGGTGAATGGAATACTGTTCCTGTTGTGCAAGCAGCAGAAATACCTCCGCCTCTGCAACAGAAATCTGTCGATAAGGAAACTGTTCATCAGTTTGGATTTCACGCCGAGTATCCTCGTGGAGAGCGAAATGCACGAGTTCAAACTTTGAGATCGTCCATCCTCTCTCCAGAAGGAATTTCACTGTACGACTGTCTTCGCAAGTAGCCACATCAATTGGTTGACGCCATTGATGCAAGAGCTCGCCAAACTGTGGTGCATGAGCAAGATTGTTCACTGCATCGCTCCGCACGGTGGTGAAGTTCCCGCAGCCATACTGACTTCTCAGAACGTGTGCGAGCTTGAAGTCGAATATTTTGAGGACGTATTCCTGGCCCTCCAGAGCGGTACCGGCTGCGTCCACCACTCTCACCAACATACAACATGACATGGTGAACCCTTCATTTCTCCCACCCTCGAGTAGACGTAACACCTGTAGCTTGAACCCCTTTTTCTCATCCTCGTCATAGAGGAGGAGCATCTCATTCGGTTGGTACGGGACAGCAGCTGAGAGGGACGGCTTCTGCTGAGCCTTGACCCTCGGCGTGACTTCATCGCCGGTCGATTCTGTCCGGGATTGTTGCATCTCAGCAGAGCTTTCTGATGACTGCATTGTAGCATCAGATTGAGGGGGGATTCGGCTAGTGCAGTGCTCCGGACGTCGTGAGGTATGAACCCAATGATCGGAGCTGGGCACAAGACGCGTAGTCTTTGGGGAAATGAGGCTTGGGTCAGCAGGGGCGAAGTGATTTGGGGGATCATTCCGGACTCAGGGCTGTGCTCACGCTGCCCATGGCACACTTGGTAGTCTTGGGGGTTGCGCAGCCACGCTCGGATGGCTCATCGCTAAACCTTCTCAATTTGGCAGACTGAAGACGCCACTGAATATGAGCGACCCGCATGTCTCCTCCCAACACCACCACCTGCTGCAGTAGCACTTGATATGGCGACTCCTTCAGCCCCTTATCGGCGCCCCACGTCGCTGGAGGTAGTGATTGACCTGTTTGCGCCCCATTCGAGGCTTAGTTCTGACTAACGACAACAGCAAACCCGTGTATTCATCGCAGTCGTCGCAGCGTGCGAACCTGTGCAAAATCACAGGCCATACAAGCAGGTCACCCTCGTCCGACTTACCTACGAACAGGCGCGCTCAGAAGCGTCGAGAAACAATTTCCTGTGTTTCTTTTTCCAGCATACGAAGATCCCGGCTGACGCGTTGCCGAGTGAGTCGATCTCTGCCTCCGAATATGGACCACGATTGATTGCATTTGCGGAGACGCTTTTTGAGAACTTCTTTCTGCCTTGTAAGCAGATTCGGGTGATTTTTGAAGTTGATAATGGCTAACATACTCAATAGTGAGAGCCTCGGCGAGAAAAGCTGCTCAACCTTCACCTGCCGCCTTTACTGATCTCCCAAGCGCGCATCTCCTCGCGGCAACTACCCGACGGCTAGCCAATTTAAGAAGAGATTGTCTTGTACGTGATCATCACCGCTGTGTCATATCACGCTCGTTCGACTGCGATGAGGCAACGAGTCGCATTTTCCAGGACGGCACTTATGGGGCCCAAGATGACGAGGGAACCCCGTTGAGGAATAAGAGCAACACATTCACGACACTAGAGGTGGCACATATTCTTCCTCACTCATTGACTACTTTCTCGAGCGGGGAACAGGAGTTAGTAGTATGTTCGGTATCACCTGTTGGACAAAATCTCTGGATTCGTCGTCAACGCCCAGTGGATAATCTGTTCGTCGACTGACTCTTCATTACAGGACGAATCCAAAAGGAAGGCCCTTGCAATTCTGGACATGTTCGATGATGGTGTGGTGCGTCTAATCGAAGGCAGTGATATCGATCGAACACGCAATGCAATCACTTTAACAATGCGGTTCCACCGATTGTTCAGCCGTTTTCAGGTCTATTTCGAACGACAAGGCAATCAATTGTATGCATACCGAATCGATCCCGTACGAGACAATTTCGTACGCCGTTCTATCCTTTCTATCGAGAGCCGCACTCTTTTCACCACTGGCGCCAAAACGATCGACCCCCCTTCTGCACGATTTCTTGCCGTACACGCCGCCATTGCGCGTGTACTCTATTTGAGTGGCGCTGGTCGTCATATTGATAAGATCCTTTATGACCTTGACCAAGGGGACATAATGGTAGACGGATCTACGCAGTTGGGATATCTCACTACGCTTAGAGTTGGGGGTTGGTGGGATGGGCGGGTCGGCGGATATTGACCATTAATCCGTGGCTGAATGAAGTTTTCGGTATGGACTATCTAGAGAAGAGGCTGACAGGGCGACAGTTACCGGTGGAGAGCTACAGGGCTCTCTCTTAGATACAGGATCGAAAGAAAGGAACATGAAATCATACATTCATTCCTATTTGTCTCCGAAGTAGCCCTTCAGCGTCACCTTCCTTTCTTGTTCAGACCACGACCCCCTGTCGATGTGGTCATTCAGGCTTTCATTCAGTGTCTGAATTTCCCGATCGCGCTCCTGCACCTGGAGCTCCAGATGTTGTATGCGACCTTCTAGCTCGTCTTCTACCGATTCGGGCAGTGGCAAGGCTGGCACACAAGACGCTGGTGGCTTTGGCGCAAGTGATGATACCCACAGCTCCGGGACCCTTGAGCTCTTCGTCAGTGATCTCGTCGGGGCGCGGAATGTCCAGTCCAGGCCCAGAGGCGGCGTCTGATAGAGCACGATCTCCTCGTCGAAGCGGGTCGGGTGCAGGGTCTGCAGCGACAGGCCGGTCCTCCTCCGCCCGGTCATGGCTCATGATGGCCCATTGGATCGGCGCCGGGCCTTGCAGATCGGGAAGCAGGGAAGGGCGGACGTTCAGACCACCGCGCAGTGATTGGCGCCAGGACAACAGAATCTTCCCGCCATAAGATGGTAGCTCTACAAAGGATCCATATCCAACGGTGCACAGCGCGTGCCAACGCCATAAACTAGCATGTTGGCAGCTTCAGTAACCCATCCCATGGCGAATCGCCCCTTTTGTCGAGGCTTGTTACGCCGGAGGGCCACGGCGGAAGAGAAGGGGCTCAGGATCTGGTGGCTGACTTGCTCCGAGACCAGCGACGTCTCGCCGGATTCGTCGTCCCACTTCCCCAGGAACAGCTCGCCCAGGAATGGGTTGAGAGGCTTCTTCTCCAATGCAAGTTTTCTCTGAACGAATGACGAGGGTGGTCGAATATGTCTCTGCCACAGCACTTCTCAGTGATCCGCGGCATGACTCATTGCGAGGGACGAAAGACACCGGGTCTGCAATCAATTCAGTCATCGCGTTACTTTCTGACCCTTGATAATGCCTGCCAAATCTTTCTATAAGGTATCGCTTGGTTCCCATATTGCCTTGGGTGACATCTAACATCTGGCTCGCATTGGCGTAGGGCGATAGCAATTCCGCGCCTACATCAGCGCGAGACATACATTGACGCTCCAAACGCCAATATGAGCAGGCTGGTGCCGGCTTGCAAGACATACGAGGCGATATCTCCTATGATGCCGTCTCTGCGAAAAATATTGAACGCTTTGAGCGGACCCTCGCACCGAATGGCACTCTCAATTCCAGCAGAGACCATATGGCAGAGTACTACCGAGTGCTTGCCTGGTTCCAGAACGAAAGGCAACCACTGCGAATATGGTGGATGTTGGACGGAGGTATGAAACGAGAAGAAGCAGTTGAGGAGCTGAACTGTCCAGTGCAGAGTCCCAACTCGAAGGCGCGAAAGAAAAGGGATGGGAACACTTATTAATGGTTTTGTATTATAGAAAGATTATCTAGAAAGAAATCGGTCGGGCACTGGACCATGTTTGACCAGAGAGTCAAAGCTTGCTTAGGGTTTACTACCAGCTCCTGGTCTGTATATCCAGTACCCGCCTTCGCATAAATGGTGCTCTAACAACAACAACAACAACAACAACAACAACAACAACAACAACAACAACAACAACAACAACAACAACAACAACAACAACAACAACAACAACAACAA